AAAAAAAAAAAAAAAAAAAAAAGAGCCCTGGCTGGTGTGGTTCAGTTGGTTGGGCGTCGCCCGGGCACTGGAAGGTTGCTGGTGCGATTCCCGGTCAGGGCTGCAGCTCGATCCCTGGTGCGGGGAGGACCGTGCCCGAGGCAGCCGACCAGTGCTTCCCTCTCGCATAGATGTCTCTCCCTCTCCCCTTTCCCTTCCACAGTCTCTAGAGATCAATAAAAAAATCTGTTTAAAAGAATGAAATGGTCCTAATAAGTCTCTCTTTCTTACGTGTTTGGCTTGTACACATTATTTGGTAACAAAATGATTTCCTGTACTAACATCATTTACTTATAATTTAGTCTCTGTTTACAGGAACCCTCCTCCCAATAGTTTTAAAGCAACAGTGTGTACGAGAACAGTTAGTTACTTTGTTTACGTGGAACCACATAACAACCTGGGCTGATCTGTTTTTCCCACCAGAATTCACTGATATTCTTTAAAGCCCATTCCTGCCCTGGTAGGTTTGGCTCGGTGGGTGGTTAGAGCATCAGCCCACAGACTGAAGGGTCTTGGGTTCGATTCTCGCCAAGGGCACGTACCTTGGTTGCAGGCTCGATCCCCAGCCCCGGTCGGGGCACGTGTGGGAGGCAAATAATCAGTGTGTCTCTCTCACATTGACGTTTCTCCCTCTCTGTCTCTCCCCCTCCCTTCCACTCTATCAACGGCAAAAAAATATCCTCAGGTGAGGCTCACCAAAATAAATGAATAAGTGAATAAATAAAGCTCATTCCTCAGCTGTTCAGACGTTATGTTTGAGCCGCTCGGTGGACATTCGTGGGGCTCCTCTTTGTGCCAGTCTTTGTGCTCACATTGTTCTAGAACAGAATCTATTCATGGTGCACTGACGGTTACATTTTGTAACTTGGCACTTCCATAAATTTGCACGTTTGTCTTGTCCTAGCATCCGGGCCTTCCTTTTAGCTACATGTGAAATACCACGAGGCAGAACATCTCCGTGTGCGCTAGTCCCCTTCCTCCCTTTCCCCTCGAGGAGGTAGAGGCCTCCTCAGGTTTGCTTCACTTTCAGAAGTCTTCGCCAACCCCCTTCTTCCCCCCCAACCAGGGTTATAAGTCTGAGAGCGGGGAACGTAACGTCTGTTCTCGGGGACCAAGGCGAGCGCGCCTGGGGTGCGGGGGGCTCAAAAAGGCAAAGGGTCAGGAGGGAGTCAGTGTCCGGGAAGGAAGGGCCCTGCGTCCACAAGCAAGCCTGTCGGGAGAGCTTCTTGCCTTGTAAATGTTTGGGGATGAGAGAAGATATGCTCCACTTTCCCTCCGGGCCCACGGTCATGTTCGCAGTCGCAGACGTAGCACTGACGAGGGTCAAGGCTGAGATCTTATGATGGTTCTGCTCCAGGACCTGGCCGTTGAAATGAATGGAGAACAGCTCTGGGCCAGAGCTCATCCCAATCAGATGCCAGCTGATGTGGTCCTGGGCACACACCGTGATACCTGAGAGAGGAGGAGAGATGGGCCAAAGCCAGGCGGTCAGCGCTCTGTGGTAATAAACTTGCTCGCCCGATACGTGTGAGAACCTGCTATTGTGCAGGGATCTGAGGAACGGCCGCTCCAACCGTAGTGCCTGCCCTAGAAACGCAGGCGTCCGAGGGATGGGCCAACACGTGGTCCAGCTCATTTCAGAGAGAGACACTAGGAACAGAGCCTAGAGATGGGAGACATCAGTTCAGAAACAAAGATGAGGCCAAGGAGGCAACCAAGTAAGTGACAACCATCCTGGGGTACCAGGCCCGAGGGGCTCCCTGGATGCTGGACATTCACTGTTAGAACTGGGCCAGCCCTGGGCCAGCCAGGCAGCTGGCCACCCTGGAGCCAATCTGGGTCCCGCTGGAGGGAGCCGTCGGAGTGCCCATTAGGGCCGAGACCAAGAGCCTGATGGTCTCAAGGGGGTAGAGGGGCCACAGCTCCACCTGGGGGAAGGAGGCGTGAAGATGGTTTAAGGATTGTGTATTGCCCTGTACCCCCTTGTTGACCGCTTTAATGAAAGGCAATGAATGCCTCGTTGGGTTACAGGCTCTCCTTAAAACGCAGAGGACAAGTCCTCATGACGCTGGGCCCCAGGACCATCTCGTGGACGGAGTAATGAGAACTGAGTGCCGAAGCTGAGTTTTGCTCCTTTTTGGCTGCCACAGTGGCCGGGAAAATGCTCCTTTGCCGCACGGGGGATTCCAGCCCCGTCTCTATCTTTGCCTGGGTTTTAAATTTCAGATCCCTAATCATTAGATCCAAGCAACCACAACTCATTGCAGTAAGTGCTACTGTAGAGGAAAGACCGTGGGGCCGAGCATCCGTCTCCTACCCACAGAGGGGCCAAGGGGCTTGTCTTTTCAGGGGACCATTTTAACAAGAGGGGGATCCGGCACCGTCATGAGAACAAGAAGCTGGGACCTGAGCATGAGAAGCTGAGGGGTAGGAGGCTTTGGTGGAAGCGTTTAGGCACCCCCAAAAATCTCCTATTGACTTGAGCATTTAGTCCGTCCGTATCAGCATTTGCCATGTTTACTCAGGTTATACTCCTCCCTAAGGCTGTTTCACAGCATCACCTTCTGTTTCCTCTAATGCCATTTCCCTCCCCTGCCCTTCTGAACCCCAACTAGTCTCTTTTTCAACTATAAATCCATATACTCGATGCCCTGATAAATGTGTTAATTTTTATTTTTGTGCGTATGGTTTGCTTTTGGGGGCTTCTGTATATTTACACAGGTGATTCATTCTGCCAGGACACAGAGACGTTTTCTCTTTTGACCGCGTCCCTCAAAGGCCCATAGTACTGGACATGCTATTTTATATGTAAAAAAAATTCTTAGACACCCCCTGTCCCAGGATAGATGGTTAATCCATTTTTGTAAGTTAGCTCATCTAGACAACTAACTGCCAAGGGCCACACTGAGGTGGAGGAATGAGCCAGGTAGACCTCAGGTAACGAAGTGTTGAAACTCCGCATCAAAGCTGAGTCACCGGAGCATGTTTGTAATGACCCAGGCGGGAAGACGCAGTCCAATGAAATAAAAAACAACTTAAAAGCAATGTCCAGGCCTCAACTTGTGATAAGTTTTGTTTGTAGTAAGTGAAGCCACTTGTGATTTTTCAGATACAGAGAATGACTCCTGAGAAACTTAATGTTTTGAATGATTTATTTAATAAAGTAATATTTTCATTTTTCCACTCTTTCCCTCAGGATCTTTGGTTCTAAGGCATTTCTCTCAGATAGAAGTAAAAGTGGTTTAGGTGGGAGTCAGTTTTTTTGGGGGGTTTTTTTGGGGGGAATGGATGGGAAGATAAAGAGAAGAAAGAAAGAAAGAAAGAAAGAAAGAAAGAAAGAAAGAAAGAAAGAAAGAAAGAAAGAAAGAAAGAAAGAAAGAAGAA